GTTTGCTTTATGTAACTGGGTGCTCATGTATTGGGTGCATAGATATTAAGGATTGTAAACTCTTCTTGTTGGATCTTCCCTTTCACCAATATATAGTGGCCATCTTTGTCTTTTTTTACTTTTGCTATTTTAAAGCTTATGTTATCTGAAAATGGTATAGCTACCCCTGTTTCTTTTGGCTTCCATTCATCTGGATGATAGTTTTCCATCCCTTGACCTTTAGTCTGAGGGCATCTTTGTGGGTTAGATGCATTTCCTGTAGGCAGCAGATACTAGGATTGTGGATTTTTATCCACTCTGCCAGCCTGTATCTTTTCAGAGGACAGTTCAGTCCATTCACATTTATTGAGAGGATTGAGATTTGTGGTAGATTTCCATTCATATTGTTGGGTGGAATCCTGTTGTTTTGTTTCGCTCCTTGAGCCATCACGAGGTCCACGTTCTAGGCTTTAACTCTTGAATGATTTTACTTTGAAGATTGTCTATTATGCTGTTCAGTGTGTAATGCAGGACTGTTCAAGGATTTTTTTAAAATGTGCTTTGAGGAATCTAAAGCAAAAGCAACCTACCTAAAACTTATATTTATGCATTCCTACTTACATTACAGATCTTGTCATTGTGCAGCTATGATTTAATAAGATATTTTAACAGTAATAAAACATTTCAGAATTTTGCTAATTGTTATTTTCTGAAAAGTTTAATTGTTTCAATGCAAATACATGGAAATGTTGTAGAACTAGGAAAAAGTTTATGGGTAAAAATTCAATGCCAAATATGCAAATATTCAACTTCTAATATGGAAATAATTTATTTTTACAAATTACAAGTGGTTATACTTGTTTGCAAGGTGCTTGTAACACACACACACACACACACACACACAGCCTTTAAAATATCATAACAAAAAACTATTTTGTAAGAAAGGCATGACAGCCAGTGGTTATCTAGTTAAACACAAATTTATTGTCAGAGATTGTGAGGTTTTAGATGTAAAAACTGTAGGATGAACAACAAATAATCAGTTCTAAGATTTTGTCTTCTCTCTTACTAGGTGAACATTATACCACTGATTGCCAAAGCAGATACAATTTCTAAAACTGATTTACAGAAGTTTAAGAGTAAGATAATGAATGAATTGATTAGCAATGGCATCCAGATATATAAATTTCCAACAGATGATGAAACTACTGCTCAAAGGAACTCATCAATGAATGTAAGCTTAAGTAAAAATATTAGTAATATATTGGAACTCGTATCTGACAGACTATAAATGAGTTGTGTTTTTTTCTAAAATCCAGTGTGACAAAATATTTTGTTTGCTTGATTTTGAAAAGTGTTGCTTACAATCAATTCTTTTTTTAAACAGCTTTATTTAGATTTAATTGAAATATCATACAATTCACCTGTTGAAAGTATGCAATTCTATTATTTTTGGTATATTCACAGATACGTACAACCATCACAACAGTCAATTTTAAAACATTTTTATCACCTTGAAAAAATCCTATACCTTTAGCCTTTTTCCCCACCTCTAACCCCACTCTCTGTCCCTCCCTCCCCAGTCCAAGGGAACCACTAATCTACTTTCTTTCTTTAAAATATTATCCTCTATTATATTTTTATCTACTTTCTACCTTTATAAATTTCTCTGTTTTAGATATTCCATATAAATGGGATAACATGTGGTCTTTTGTACCTGACTTCTTTCACTTATCATAATGTTTTAAAGATTTATTTATGTGGTAGCATGTTGTAATAAGCTCTTCATTTCTATTTATGGCCAACACCATATAGGGATACCACATTTTGTTTATCCATCATTTAGATGATGGGTATTTGGGTTGCTTCTACGTTTGGATTACTATAAAGAATGCTGCCATAAACATTTGTGTACAATTCTTTGTGTGGACATATGCTTTCATTTCTTTTGGGTATATGCCTAGAAGTGGAATTGTTTGGTCATATAGCAACTATGTTTAATCACTTGAAGAACTCTAGACCTTTTCCAAAGTGGCTATACCAGTAGTTTTGCTTTCTCCACTTCCTTGCTTTAATTGTTATTATATAAATCTTTTATTCTAACTATGCTAGTGGGTGTAAAGTGGATCCCATTGTGGTTTTGATTCTCATCAGATCCTTTACCCATTTTTAGATTGGGTTTTTATCTTTTTATTATGAGTTGTAATAGTTCTTTATGTATTCTAAATTCAAGGTCCTTGTAGGATACATTATATGCACATTTTATTCCATTTCGTGGGTAATCTTTTCGGTTTCTATTTGGTTTCTTTTAAAGCACAAAAGATTTTAATTATGAGGAAGTTCAATTTTTCTACTTTTTTCTTTGTTGGCTCTTTTGCATCATATCTAAGAATTCTTTGCTAAATCTAAGATTATAAAGGTTTACCCATTTTTTCATAAAGTTTAAAAAACAGTGGTAAAATACACACAACATTATAGCATTTACCATCTTAACTATTTTTAAGTGTATGTTTCAAGTGCATTATATATTTACATTGTGCTACCACCATCACCATCCATCACACAACTCTTTTTATCTTACAAAACTGAAACTTTATACCTATTAAACAATAAATCTTAATTCCTCTCTTCCTCTAATCCCTGGAAACAATCATAGTACTTTTTTGCTCTATAAATTTGATTATTCTAAGTACCTCATGTAAGTAGAATCAATATTTTTTTCTTTTATGTCTGGCTTATTTAACAGCATAATGTCTTCAATGTTCATCAATGTTGTGGCATGTGTTAGAACCTCCACACTGTCTACTATAATACCTAAATCAATTAACATTTCCACCAACAGTATGCAAGGATTCCCTTTTCTCCACAGTCTCACCAATACTTCTTATCTTTTGTCTTTTTGGTAACAATCTTTCTATTAGGTGTGAGGTGATATTTCTGTGTTTAATTTGTCAAGGAAGTACCATACTTTTTATCATAGTGGCTGCACTATTTTGCATTCTCACCAACAGTACAAACGATTTCAGTTTATCCACATTCTTGCCAACACTTGCTATTATGAGGTGTGCATTTTTTTTTTTTTTTTGAGACAGAGTCTCACTCTGTTGCCCAGGCTAGAGTGCCGTGGTGTCAGCCTAGCTCACAGCAACCCCAGACTCCTGGGCTCAAGCGATCCTTCTGCCTTAGCCTCCCAAGTAGCTGGGACTACAGGCATGCGCCACCATGCCCAGCTAATTTATGT